CAGGCCTTCAGGGAAGCCTCCTGAAGGCTCTAGGGGGCTAAACAGGCCCTACGAGCAAATCGGAAGTCCGTTCCCCATAGGGTCAGTTTTTCACGCTCCTGAAGCCTCTGGAAGGCCTCCGAGAGGGCGAGGCATGCATGCTGGCCAGCTGATTTCAGCTCTTTGAGGCCATTTTTCGCAAGTGCAAAAAACCGCCCCCACGCCACGGGCAAACCAGAAGTTTGGGAATGGACTTCCGGTTTGCTCGTTGGGCCAGTTTTAGCCCTTGAGACCTCCCTGAAGGCTCCAGAGGGCTAAAACTGGCCCTACGAGCAACCCAGAAGTACATGCCCCTAGGGCCGTTTTTTCACACTCCAGAAGCTTCAGGGAAGCTCCTGGAGCATCTGGAGGGCCTCCGGGAGGGCAAGGGAGGTTGTTTTTGCCCTTCCCAGGCTCCTATAAAACCTCTTGAGCTTGGGGAGGGCGAAAAAAGCATGCCAAAAATGGGGGGAGTGCTGGTTGTACAGACATGTATGCTGGAGTCATGCGCAAAGCATTATGGGTGTGGCACACCCAAGCACGCCCCCTGCACTCCCCCCACTTTTGGCACACGAGCCAAAAAAAGGTTCGCCATCACTCGACTAGAACATCGCAATGAAAAAGTTACTTGTGTAGTTTGTCCTCCCATAATAGGTATGTTGCACAGCATGAAGTCTGTGGTATCATCAGAAGCCCTATGTGTACCCTCCAGATACCCAGAAACATTGTTTCCAAACTTGATAGTACTACATTTCATTTTAATATAAATTGTAAATGAAGTGAAATCAGTCTTCTATTTCTCTACCAGGTTTTTTTTTTCAGATTATGGTGGTAGCATAACTCTCAAAGGCCAAATATGGTTCTTAGTCTGGTTATGTGTCTCTGAGTTATGACATGGAACAATGAGCCCTAATTCATAAACATACTGGCACTAGTTAATTGGAGTAAGCATGTCTAGTTATTCAGAAATATTAGGAACTATGTGTAATGTGTGTTTGTTAAAAAGAGAACTGTACAGGATCTACTCAGGACTGTGTTAAGCTCAACTGGAAAATAAAGTATACCAAGGCAAAATAATTTTTGTGGTATCCAAGTTCTGTACATTCTTTCTGTATAATTCTTTTTATTGAGTTCAAATGTTACCATAATGCATTCTAAGTTTCTATATACATATATTTGATTCATAAGTCCTCATATATTGCAATATCTGTGCTATGTTAATATTGTTAAGCAAAGATTATACACATTTTAAACTAAACAGTTAAAATTACTTGAGAAAACATTTATTGCTATTACACAGAATAGGGTATATACAGTATGTGCTTCCTATAAAATGTGTGCCTCCAAACTTAAAATGCTGTTTGAATACAGATTTTAGATTTGATTATTCAATATATTACATATATTAATTTATAGACAGTGAGAGCAGTGAGTGGCATCTTGTGTACATTAGTTCTAAAAATTGCCAACACCAATCAAATAGGGAAATAACAATCCTACGTATGTTTACTCATATGTCTTGATGAATTCATTGGCATTTATCTAGATAGGTTCAAATAACATTGTCATCTAAATGACATTGTTTACCTCTTAGTATCTCCATAATCTTTGGTATTATCACCTGACCAAAGCATTATTGGTGATATTAAGGAAAAATATCGCAATAGTGACTAATTTCAATGGGTTCACATAAACTGGATAACACATATATTCTTTTCATGGAAATATATATATATATTGTAGATAATATTAACAGTTGCACATTAAAAAAACTAGGCATAGAATCAACCAGAGACAATTCTGAATTTAAGTTCATGTAGTCCACAGGTGTGTAAATATTGTTTAACTGACTAGAAACAGGGAGCACAGTTCATCAAAGTTAGTTTATACATAACTAGAAAATTGCCAAGAATAACCATAAAAAGGATGCTAGAAAAAGAAAAAAAAATTGAATTTCATCAGGAAGGTATGAAATCCAGAAATTCTGGATTAAAATTCCATAAATTACGGCTTTTGGAGCAGTGTTTATAAATGTTTTAGTCTACAACAGCTTGTTGACATCATAGACCATAATCTATGGCTGCACTTTCCAATTCCTTATGAAATCATTTAGAAAAATTCACTAAAACAGCTGTGACATTCATCTAGCTGGGTGAATATATATCATCTGTGTACTTAATAGTTTTTTAATTTTTATCTCACCTATTACTTTATAAGTAACTCAAGGTAATGAACATACATAATACTCCTTCCTTCTATTTTTCCCACAACCATCTCATGAGGCGGGTTAGGTTGAGACAGTGACTGGCCCAAGGTCATCCAGTTGGCTTTCATGTCTAAGGTGAACTCAGCCTCCTATCTTCTAGGCCAGCACCTTAACCACTACACCAATCTGCTCTCTTAAAAAAAAGAAAAAAACTATGGCACATGCTCTGATGCTCATACAGCCCCAGATGGAGGTGCAGATGCTGAGAAACTGTTGTGAAAGCTGATTCTAAAACTGGGAATTTGGTAAGGTGCAAAGCACACATTATCAAAAAACTGACTTCAAAGTTCATTTCTAGAGGGACAGAATTCTTCACAGGCAGACT